AATTCAAGCAGAGAGCCGTGGCCTCCGCTCAAAGGTGCTGACTTTCATCCCAAACGCTTCACTTTGGATTGCACACTGCCTCGGTTCATGCTGAAGGTCATGGTCCCTTGAAGCCGACAGAATCACATCATCTGCATAAAGCAGAAACCTTTGAAAAGTTACCCACTTATACGGTGTGTAAACCTTTTTTATTTGACCCACTTTTGACCCTCCTGCAGCACAGCAGGGAAGTCAGGTGATGTAGTAGAAAGAGGGATGTATTCTGCTTGGGAGATGTAGTGTGGGGAGATGGATAGCTTATTTATGCCGGACTTTAAGGACACTGGGGGTCGTCACACACACACACACAGCAGTGTGTACCATCCGCTTGTTTTCCTGCATGTGCCAACACAACCTGTTTTAAATAGTTTCACTCACAATATTCCCCATGGTGTCTCCCCATGGTGTCTCATGTTGGTTTATCCCCCTGGTGTCTCCTCTCTGTGTCTCCTCTTGGTGTCGTCCCTGACCTACCTTCGTAGTCTTGTGGTGTCTTGTGTTGGTTTCTCCCCTGGTTTCTACCAATGGTTTCTCCTCCCAGTGTCTCCCCCTGGTGTCTCCCCTTGGTACTGCTGCTATGAGCGACAGCCGGCCTCAGTCTTTACAGAAAAGGATCTCTGCCTGTTGTTGTGATCTTATATTGGCCTACAAAGTCTACACCCTGACCATGAGAGGACCAAACTTTCTTCTGGTGTGTCCCAAAGACTATAATGCCATTATGGTACCTTGAAGCAGGTGCTACTTGTTGTACTGTGGGAGTCGCCTTTGTCCAAGTTCTCATGACAAGTGTAATTTATCGACCTGCAAGTGGAAAAAATTAACTTGGCAATTCTCAGAATGGCGTGCAAAACAATGCACTTTGGTAAGAGAAGAGGAGTTCAGGGTTAAGTGGAGAATCTTCTTTTATGTGGTTCTCAACCTCTTTAGGAGATTTTTGTTTTGCCCTCTAAAAGTTAAAGTCAGTGCTGGAGGAAACTTTCAAACACGCTTTTTTGTTTGCATCAGCAACGTGAGCAGAAGTCTGACTTGAAATGAGACACATCGATTTTATTCTGTAGTCTTCACACAGCACCTGTCCAGATGTTTCAGATTACAGATGAAGACACGCTCCAGCCCTGATCAGATCTCATCAGTCTGAAGCGTCTCTATCGGACGTCGACGGGACCCGATCCCCCCCGCAGAGTCTCCACGTTAGCAGCATCAGAGTCAAAGCAGCAGGGGGGTAATGGAAACTTCAGGTTGGACCATCCTGGGTATCTTTGAGATCTGGATGATGGTTTGCACAGCAGTCGATCTGACACAAAGTTTGATGGAATAGAAGTGATATTTAAAGAACAGGGCACAGAGTCTGAAGGCTGTGAAGGAAGACGAGCAGAGAGATCATTGGTCACACTTTGGAGGTATGAACCTTTTTATCTCGTCGTCGTCCTGTCTTCCAGCTCTGCCTCTGATTGGCTGACCCATGAGCAGGTTGACTCATTGAGATCACAATCGGCTGTGTCACGAACGTGTTAGTGCCTTAACATTGCTTGTCTTGCTGATGACTCGACAGCGCCCGAAGAAGATCTGAGAGATCAAAACGTTAGCTGTGAGCTTTTCGAACCGTGAGAGGACCCTTTTTTAATTCCTAACTGTCGTCTTGTCTGTGATTGGCTGTCCTTGACATTGCATGCCCTGCAGAGTAAACAACGCGACGTGGCTGAAAATGTGTGAATGTGTCAGCTAACCGAGTCGTTGGAGAGTCAGCGTAGGAACTATTTCTTTGGAAGAAAGTAGCCCCAATGGAAAGCTGTAGCCCCAATGGAAAGCTGTGTGTGCACTGTGGATCACTCTAAGAATATTCAATTTGCCTCCAGAGTCCTGCCGTTTGCAGAAATCAGAGGAAGGTATTTCAAACCTTAACGGCACAAATCGAGTGGTGAGAGGAATTATATCTTTGGTAATTTAGTTAAATGGAGTACTGAATATGCTTGTACTCGGTGTGTTCCCATGAATGATGTATCAATGGGCTCTCAGGTTGGTGTAAGTGCAGCAAACAGCAGGTGCTTTCACACAGTTTGGATTAAATTGACCCGGAGTCGGACTGAAAATTGAATTGTGTTCCACGCTCGCTACCTTTGGCCGTTTCACGTCTCTGTTTGAGCCGCTTCCATTTCATCTGCAGACTCTGTTTTCATATTACAAATCTGTCCGATCCATTTATATCTACAACACCACCATCCAGCATCTTTAAATATCTGCAGCTCCAGCGCAGCGGCGTCCTTCACAGCGAACTATTCAATCAGACTCTCAGCGTGTTCCCCCATCGCCTCTTTCCACCAATAAAGCCCTGCTCCCATAATCATCGCTCATCACTTTTAGTGTCAACACACAGCTATTTACTATTGAGCTGTGGATATAAAATTCTATTTTCTATTAACTTAGCGTGGAGCCGAGAGGGAAGTCTCTCCATCGACATCTCCAGCCTCGGCTGTAAATTCGAAGGCAGGAAAAGGATATCACATAACTTTTGTGAGTGCGGAGATTAGAGGAGACTGGATGTGATTCTTAGCTCACATCCTCCTCTCAGGGTCTCAGAGTGTGTGAGTGTTAGGGAGGATTGGGGATTTTATGGTGCCGCTGCAGCTTTACTCACAAGAGGGCCTCGTGTTGTTTCCTCATGTCTGTGAGTTTCTCTTGAAGAACATGACTAGAGGCAGAGACACAGGCTGAGAAAGACATCGTAAAAGATCCTCTAAACCCTCTTAAATGTGGGAAACATCATCATCCAAGTGAAGGAACATGTCATTTTCCTCTTAGTTCCTTAGCTCCTTCTCTTCCTCCACCTTCCTGTCGTCTCCTGTAGGTCCGACACTTCACGGCCCTGTTGGACTCCTCGGCTTGTTTCTTGGCCTCTGCGGTCTTTTTTCTTTGTCAGCTCTCCTCACCTCCTCCTCACCTCAGAGAAACTGCTCGCCTCCTCGGCACTCACACCTCTTTGTCTCTCAGTCGTTTTTTTGGCAGCTGTGGGCTTCTTCTGAAGAATGCAATGTCGACTTTGAACAGATGGTCAGACTTCTAACATCACAAAGACCGTCTATTAGCTGTCCTCTCAAATGAACTGACATTTTTATCAAATCTATTCTGTGTTGTTGTTTTGTGTAACCCCGCCTCCTGCCCAATGACAGCTGGGATCAGCTCCAGTCATGAGTCTGGGGGTTCAGATAATGGATGTATGGATGGATGGACACACAGTTTTATAAGGTACTCGCTTTTCTCTTCGGTTTCAAAAAGGGGATTTGATATTAACGTGTTTGGACCTCAGTATCTTTGACGGCTCATTTTCTGCTTCTTTGTCAGGCTGTCAGACTCTGATGTAAAGTTGTGACGCCCGCTGTTCCCCTGTAACATCTCATCAATGAGCCTCACAGCTGATCACAGAGTCCCAAAACGTCCCTGAACCTTTTCTCTTCTTTTTTTTTTTTTTTTACTACATCATCCTTCTTCCCGTCCCCGCTCCTCTGAATGTGCTCACTCAGAGCGCTGACGCCTCACTAGAATATGCTAATAAATCTCCTGCGAGGAGCATTTGCAATGTAAATCACAGAATCCAGTGGAGAGCTAATATCACAGAGGGGTCAGAAGCTAAGGAGCCGCTCAAATGATTCATAGTCCTCCTATCAAAGCGGCACTTGTCCTACTTGAGACTTTAATCTCCTTCAGCCTTGTTTAACCCCGGCTCGCTCTTCACCCGGCCCGACCACGAGACCCTGGAGATCCAAGAGAGAGAGAGAGAGAGAGAGAGAGAGAGAGAGACACTTTTTTAAATCCCCTTGCTCGCCCGCGTTTTCCTGCTGGTGATAATTGGCATCCTGGCTGCTGTTTGTATTGTGTTTCATCCCGGGGCGGTCTGTGGTGCAGATTAAAAATCGACTGGGGTCAAACGGCTAATTGGAGCAAAGTGTGTGTGAGTGAAGGAGGATTTCTGCTGATATCATTTAATGAGACCTTCGTAGTCTCTGCTCGCCAAACTGACAAATGAGTTTGGGTCATCAAAGTCAGATTAGAGCGCCAGCGCTGATTTATGCAACATTTATTAACAAGAGGCGCGCTCCACTCTGTCTGCAGGTTAAACATGGTGTCCATTTCTGACGCTCTACTTTCTTAATGAATAATTTAATGAGAGAAATAAATTCGCTGCATGACGACCACGAGGTCATGTCATCGACCTCCTCTGCTTTTCGATTCATCATGTGTTGCTGGTTAGTTTAGTCACTGTTTTATGTTATAGAATTAAAGTCCGATCAGTAACATGAAGACAGGCTCGCTGAACGAGAGGCACGGAGGTGATCTGAATGTCGAGCTCGCCAAGCTTCTCTCCTGTGATTCGTTGATGATCAAACGTCTTTATCTGGCTGCACAGGTGGATGATATCGAGCCTGGGGGACACACCAGCACACATGCAGAACACTAAGGACAGGGATTAGTCACACACACACACACACACACACACACACACACCATGTGTTGTTTATGCCCTCACACCACCGCTGTGAAATGTCACAAAGAGGGACCCTTTTACATTTCAACAACACAAACCATTGGTTGCACTTTGTGCAGAAATTGTTGGATAAAAGTGAAAGATGAAGATGCACTGTTGCACCATGGATAATTTTAAACAAGCTGTGACTGTCTACCCGCCTCCCCATTGCTTCATTGCAGCTGATTCTGCGGGGGCTCTTACCCCAGTCAACCTGCTCCCATGTTTAGATTTGAATTATTTGACTGTTTGTTAAAAGAATCATCAATGATTAAAAGAGCAATATGTAAATCTGACACCTAGTGTCTAAAATGGGTACTGCAGTCCAAATTCTAAACATTGTAGAGAGCTGTCTTCCCTGTAGCTGCAGAGTCATCTTTGTGTTGAGCTGTTTTCATGTCTGCTTCCTCTCTAACGTTTTTTTATTTATTCTCCCCCTCAGTGCCATGAATCAGCCTGGACCACAGCTGCTGCCCACTTAGAGGTCGCTTCGCCTCTCTTTCCCCCTCTCTTCGGTCCGGAGGATGCTGGGAATGTGTCGCGGGCGCAGGAAGTTCCTGGCGGCCTCTCTCGCTCTGCTCTTCATCCCAGCGCTCACCTGGCTTTACCTCTCGGTCGGGAGCTTCCAAGGTGAGCACAGACGCATGAACGCACTCGGCCCTGTGATTTGTCAGGAGAGACTTACAAGACTGAAATGAAGCTTGAATGCAGGGTCGTTGTTGCAGTCTGGTGTGAGGAGTCTGCAGTGATGCTACCTGCCCGTTTCCTGACCCTGGACAGGTATAAGTCCTGGATGGGGGGCAGGTCAGCACCAAGGTCTTTCTGCAGTCCTGATTGTCCGTTGCAGCTTGTGTCTGTCGTGTTCGGTTGCAGATCTAAACCAGTGCAGGGAACAGATGAGTAATTCTGGTGCTGGCTAGTGAGGGTGATGATGTTTCAGGGTTTAGTCACATCCCTACAGTATGTCTTATTGTTGTTCAGGTCGGGGAGTATAGGGGGCTCATTTGTCTCTGGGTGCCATGGACCCATCAACTGGTTTGCCACAACAATGTGCAAGACCTTTAAAATGTCAAACTTTCAGTTTCCTAACTGACCCTGGTAACATGAGAAGTGAGATTTATGTGCAGGAATGGTCCCGTGCATCACAATGAGGTCCTTAATGTCTTCAGAGCTCGCGCTGTAATAAATCAGTTTAGAGGAATAACAACACAAACAGCAGAATACAACGTTCCATTGTTTATATGAGAAAACTTCCCGAATAGCCCCTTAAAGTCTGATGAAACAAATTTCCTTTTGGGCAAAGTCACCTTTGTGTTGCGTCTCTTCTCGGGTGGAGGTGGAGTATTAGCGAATCACCGAGGCCTGTCCAAAGTTGATTACTTCCAGCAGACAGTTTAGTCCAGGAGCTCTGCGCGCTGTTTTAATGACTCCCCCTCTCCGGATTGAAAGGCTGCGTTGGTGCCGTTATTAATTATGATTAAATTGACAATTTTGACTGGGAGGAGGGGGGCAGGGGGGGGGGGGGGGTCACAGTGACTGGAGACTGTATGTGTGAATAGGCTCCTTTAATGCAGGAGTCAGCCAGGTCTGCAGAGTAATTATTCGATTTGGCAGTGTGTTCCTGGCGGTGCAGAGTATTTCCTGGACGGTGTGATAAGTTGTGAAAGGAGCTGGCTGCAGGGAGCGTCAGGCTGAACGTGTTGGACAGGAACAATGTGCTGCTCTGGCTCTGACTCCCCCCCCCCCTCTCTCTCTATACATGTCTGACCTCTCCTCTTCCCTGCTTGTTGTTTTTCTGTTGTCTCTGTATTTTTGGGATGTGTTGAGTCTCGGGGGTGTGCAGTGTTCAGTTTGGATGTTTAAACCTGCAGAGAGAATGACACAAACATTCACTGTAGACCTAAAAGGACGAAGGCATCCTCACCACATACTGCAGCTTCCTTTGATCTGACTGTTTCCTGTATGTGTAGAGAACTGAAGTTATGTGTTTGCGTCAGTGTGAGTTTGATAAATGCAGAGACATTTAAACTTTAGGAAGACGTTTCAGTGTTCTTTTAATGATGACGCTTCGTGACAGCTAGTCCGACTAAAATGGTATTAAATGGAAAAGTGAGGTCTTACTGAAACTATGAATGTATGTTTGTGCCTGTTTGTTTAGAAAACATAAAAAATCACTCAAGTGTTTGAAATATTCAGGAGGAAGGTTCGGCTTATATCCCTTTGTTAGGAGAAAATGCTCATGATGCTACAAACTGCAGAAAACTGGAAGAGACAGGAAAAAAAGATTGGGTTCCAAGATCGTCTTAAAGCACCAATCAGTAAGATGTGTAGTGAGTGAAATGATAAAGGTACCTTACTATATGATCAGACATTAAGGAAACATGCTATGTTGAAGTGCTGACTTCTCTGACAACAATGCAGCAGTCAGTATGTCCTCCTTCTAACTTTAGATTCTGCTCCTCAATGCTCTGGATTTGTTTGGACCAGAGAAGGTAGGCGGTTTTAAGGCACCCCCCCACACGGCCGTTTTGGACGGCCCTCGGTTTGCCAGATATGAGAGCAGTTATCAGGTCAAACCAACAGGTGTTGCAGCGATGGAAGCGGACAAGAGAAGTGGTTCAGATAGAAGTGATTGTACCCGACCTAAAAAGCCTCTGCATGTTTCTAATAAGCTCCATGAGCAGAAACGTGCTCAAACTAGGATCAATATTGGAGATGCTTTTAAAAAATGGAGAGAGGTTAGAACGCACACACTGATGGTAGATGCTGCTGTGTAAAGAGTCCATTCACAGTCATTCACACGCCGCACACGAAGCAGCAGGGTTTAAGTGTCTTGCCAGAGAACATATCGGACATGTGGCTTGCAGCAGCTGGGGCCCTGATCTTCCAGTTGGGAGATGACCGACTCTACCACTGAGCCACAGCCGCCCCCAAATACATCCCACCATCGCCGTGTTCGCTAACCAAGAACACAAGCTGGAGCTGGTTAGTCATTTCAAACCTCAGGCTGCTCTATCTTTGAAAAACACTTTAATCTTTCTTTCTGTCCCTCATAGATATAAAAATATAAATATATACAAGCTGTTTTGTAAAACCCAATTTTCTCCAGCTCAGGGCTACGACGACTTGAAGTCTTACCTGGCTGTCTCCACCTGCGAGCAGCTTCTCCGTGTTTCCGTCTCATCACGTCTGGATTAGTGTTTCAAACTCTCACTTTTCCCAGGATGCTGCAGAATATTGGTTTTGCCACTTTTTGAAATTGTTTTCCTCGGGTTATAAAATAAAATAAAAAACGCTTTGACACTGACAATTTCGGCTTTTCTTCATTTTTTTGGTCGGCACATTGGCGAGCCTCGTAATGACCACTCTGGGGCAGTCGGCGTAACAAGGAATGCATTAGTGAATGAATAATCCAGGGAAAGAATAAACGAGTATTAGTTTAAACGACTCTGGTGCATCTCAGAAAACAAATCACATTTGGCCCCTGAACAGCAGATTAGTGAACCCCATATTTCAGAGGAATTGGCAGTAATGGGCTCTGAAAAAAAAAAAAAAGGGATTTATTTAAAAATGTTCAAAGAAATGAAACGACTCTTTTGCTTTTTGCCAAAGGCCAGTATGCAAATATTGTCTCTTCCTCATTAATCACTCTGCTTGTTCATTACTTCATTACTTTGACCTTCCTGCCAAATTCATTTAAGCGCCCTTCGAGGCGTAGTTGAACCTTTCGCTGGTGATTTCCTCAATGGACGGCGGTGTTTCATATTTAGAAGACAAAAGGAGACCGCTGCAGGAATCCGTTAATGTGGAACAATCCCCCCCCCCCGTAGCTCACAAGAGGAAATGAATGTTCATGTGTCCTGTGTGTGACTCCGGCCTTTGTGTGGAGCGCACACGGCTGACAGAGAACTACATCCTCTGACAGTCCAACAAACAAAGTGTCCGAGGTTTCTATTGTTCCTCTAACGCAGCGCTCCTCTCTCCACGCCAACATACATCATCCAAGAAGCTTTGGATTGTCTGCAGCGTGGAGCGAGCTCGTGATTTATGGGCTGCACTCCGTCCCAAGCAAGCCACAACCTGAGAGCGTGTGATGTTCAGGACGTTTTAAAATGAATAAAACGGACAGAGCGTTATACTCTGTATGTAACCACGTTTACTGCCGGCCAATTTAAACCCAGCAGACGCTCAGAGCAGCTGACGCAGCCGTCCAGCAGACTGGAGTATGCGATGTGATAGAACGAGGCGATGGATAAGTCCACAATGTAGGACACAACGTTTGCCCAGCAGGCTCTCAGAGTGGATCTCGCTCCGTGTAACTGAGTAGGAATGAACAGGTGTCTACATTTGAAAGCTCTCTCTCTCTCTCTCGCCCCTCTAGCTCTCTCTTTTTGTGTTATTGGTGTTGAATTGTTAACTTCATCTTTGCATCATGTTTGTATTTGTTTCGTTTCATGTCAGCGTGAGAGCATGTGGAGATAATATCTTTTAATGTGTCTGAATAATCCCATAAGGGACGGGTCGTGTTGAGAGGTGAAATAAAGATGAGTTCATTGATTCATTCATATCGGACTTTCACTAAGAAGACCAGATTGCAGCCTCACTGTCAGTGCTCCAACACGTCAGCTTTGAGTTTTTAACTCGATCCACACCTGGATGTGTTACCTAAACTGGGGTGTGTGCGGCTGTGGCTGAATTGGTAAAGTTGTTGTCTCTCAACCGGAAGTTCGAGGCTTCGATCCCGAGCTCCTGCAGCTACCCGTCTGATGTGTCCTAGGGCAAGACTTCTAACCCCGATTTGCTGGCGCTGCTTCGTCTGCGGTGTATGAACGCTTTTTTTGTTCCATGAGATTGAGAGTGGGACAACTTCACCAACCACCAAGGGGCATGAAGAGTGGAAGGCTTGAAGGTCAAAATCTCCAGCAGCACTCGTAGTTATTAACCAATTAGACCGACGCGTTTCGGCTTGTGGCGTTCCTCAGGGTCATCCTGAGTGCATCTGAGATTCACAGGGCGTCCATGAGGTAAGAAAGATAAGAAAGTAGAAACCCTCAGACTCTCAAAGATTCATTTTCAAACAATCGTGCATATCTTTCTGTATGCTATTATATGGCACCAACCGTTGTAAAAAGATAAAGTCACCATGGCCGTTTTCAGATGTTCCATTTGCAGGAACTAAAACCATCACTCAAGTCAGAAATTCATCCAAACAGAATATTTACAGAGTAAGGAGATGATCGCTGCTTGTTTCCTCCTGAACCCTGAAGGACAAACGATGCCCGGCTCAGCTGGGACTCAGTTAAACTCGTCAATGATTGAGGCAGCTCAGAAACACAAAGGGTTTAAAAAACAGACTCACATCATCAAACATCTCTCTGATTCTGCTTTTACTTTTAGGTTTTCAACAGTTACTGTCAGTTATCACCATGACAACATACGCCTGTGATTCTCCAGAAAGAGGCAGATCAGGCCGATAACACAGAGAAAGTAAGTCGGTGGGATAATGTTTTATTTATTCGCCGTGCAGCTTGAGAAATCTGGATCGACGGTAACGACGGCGGAGCTTCCACAGGACTGCGTTTTCTTGTTTCTGCTGCTTTCTGATTCCATCAGACCGTGTACCCGTTCCCAGTTCCTCCGCTAATTCAATCACCATGTTTGAAGGTGCAGCTCGCGCCACCACGCTGTCATTTGAGTCGCGCGGAACATGACAGTTTCAGGGCTCCGTAACTTGATTTAGCTGCATCAGCAGGCTCGGCTGGGCTTCACAGGGAGGATCCGACGCTCGAAACTCTGACAAGAGACTCAGACGGTGTTTGGTTAAGAGGAAAATATAACTATTACCTCAGATATCAAAGTCTCCTACCTCTACGCATCCTCCCTGCTACACACAGCTGTTAATGATCAAATATGAGAGCGGCTGCGGCGGTCTTTGAGGAACCAAGACCCGGGTCAGAATCTGAAGTGTTTTGGGTTTTGTTGGGTCTTGTTTGCTGCTACAGGTCTCTCTATCAACCAGTATATCTAACCCCTAATCTGACATGAAGAGACCCTCCTAAAAACAGTTCTCTCGGTGTAATCAAACTACAGCTTCTCCTGAGCGGCTCGTCCTCCTCTAATAGAGTTCGTCTGCCAACTTTCTGGAGCAAACCTCGACACTCGGTGGCATCATTTACTGAGCCTAATCTGAGTCGTGGTGCTCGTTAGATCTTCTGTCGATTTAGTTGCTTTGAAGGGAAGATGAAGAAAACGGAGCGCGATATGTTTGGCACATTTTATAACCTTTCCATGAGAACATCGTGTCGGCTCGATTTAATGAGACGCTCAGACACACTCGCCCATTTGAGACCGCTTTGCGTTTCGACGTTGTGGAAGCACGACTCAGCAGGAGCTCCACACACACACACACACACACACACACACACACACACACAGTTCAAAAATGTTGAGTGGCAGTCCAGTGCTGATTCTAAACATGATTCATGTCTCCTGATGCATTCAGAAAAAATGAGTAACTGGGAAGAAATCAAACCATTTATGAGCTGTCAGACCATCCATCAGCAGAAAACGTCCAATTACATTCAAGGTCACTGAGCCAAACACTCCGTCAGGTTTTATTACTGTGCTGCAGGAAACCGTCCAGATCATAGCATCACTGTCAACGCCAAGACCACTGACACAATCCATCTGTCCTGACACACACACACACACACACACACACCCTGCTGCGCATCAATATGGCTGCCATACGGCTGATCACACCTCACATGGGGTTGGTAATAAACTTCTATTCAAAAGCAATTTAGTTATTGATTTAGTCGTTAACTCTGAGCAGCCAGGAGACATGTTGAAAACAAACCTCTGGATCCATCACGGTTTAAAGAGGGAACAAGGGGCACTCTGAATATTAACGCAAACCTTCTGAAAACCCTTTCCAGGATTTAGCCTCGCCCCGGTTATGACCTCGGGACCCTGTAGGTTTAGAGCTGGCACGTGGAAGGATCCAGACATGAATTCACAGTTCTTGAGCAGGTTGTGATTTAAAGATGTGTTTGTATTTAAAGACAGTTTGCTGTTTGCTGTGTTCGTAGATTCACCTCTGAAAGTTCAACCTGCTTTTGAGATCACGGCAGAGTAAAGGACGGCACGTTGCAGCCACATAAGGCCGGGTTCATTGTTGGGCGCTCATACTGCGTCACCTCATTCATACCACTGTGCCCGATATTCAGATCCCCACTGCACACGTTGCAGAATGTGTGGCCCCTCTCCAGGTGACTCACAGCTGTTAACTTATTCAGTCCAGCTTTGTTTATATTTTCAGGTGTCTTTTGGTTTTTGTGTCTTGGTTTGTTTCGGTGGAATCACGTCCTGTCCTGTCCTGGGGGGGGCGGCACAAGCTCAGTCCGTACAGTGCTTGCATAGACGGACGAGGACGAAGGAAGGAGGACGGAGGAAGGAGGACAGAGGAAGGAGGACGGAGGAAGGAGGGGGGGCTGGCACTTTCTGTTAGGACATGGTGTCAAGCAAAATATTTGATTGATGTTCAATCAGCTTCTTAATCCTCCAGCACATCTCTCTACCTACAACAACAAGTGTCACAGTCAGACACTGACGTTCAGGTTTTCACACGGACGTCTTGGAAAGAGAGCGTGGAGGCGGCGTGCTGCAGCCAGACGGATGTTTGTACCTTCATTTAAATGTGCTGCTTGAAAGACGAGTTCAACCTTTGAAACTCAGATCCACTTCTCTCTGCACTCTCTCAGAAGCAGCTACGTTAGGGGAAGTGATTCCTCAAAACACGGAGAGAAGCTGCGAGGATCCTTTATTCACATTCTCAGCTTTTTATTTTCTGTCAGTAAAAAGTGTTTTCCGCTTTAATCTTTGGATTAGTTCAGGACAAAGAAAGGTTAAATAGGAAACATCCATTTCTGATGCTCTGGTCTCTTTATCGTATCCTAACGACACCATTGGCAGCTGATTCCTGTTCTCGTGAGGAGGTGGGAAGGTGTTTTAATGATGCACGTGTTGCTGCCGCTCACCAGATATCAGGCGGAGAGCAGGAGGGACAGAGAGGACGTTTACAGATAACAATAATTACACCTGACTGTATATACAGGGGAGCGTGGCGTGGGAGCATGTCGTTGGCGTCAGAGCAGTCATGAATAACTCAGCAGGAGCTCTATGTGTCCGTGTTGACTCATTGAGAGCTTCTGATCATCCAAAGCGAGGGTGGGAACTTAAAAAAAGGTACACGTTTCTAATTCTCACTGCCAGAGTGACAAAGGAGGAAGTGTTACAAAATGTTTCAATTATTTTTAAGATTCATTTTTATAGGATTTCCGGGTCTTTATTTGAGAAAGAGGACAGACAAATGTGCGTAAGCCGAGCGCTTCTTTGATCCAGATTGTTTTTGTACTTGTGCGCATTCTAAGTTTCACTCTTAAAATGGAATTAAGAAAACTTTCTACGCTCTGTTGATACACGAGGCACCAGGAATGTGTCTGCTGTGAGAACTAACGTGGAGGATCCTTTTTTTATTTTATCTGACTTGACGCAGAGCTGCGCGAGGAGTCGATGAATCTCCAACAACAGTTTCCATGTTGATGAAATAAAAAAGTAGAACCACATGTAAGCAGTGTCTGAAGTCTTAAAGTTGTCAGCGTGAAAACAAAGCCCTCGTGCTCTCTTCCTCTGGGATGTAAATGACGGAGCATTGTTCTAATGTTTTCTTCTTCCCCCCCCCCCCTCTCCCGGGGGAACGGGCCTCATGTGTTTACCCGGGCTTTTGTTTGCATGTAGATGATGAGCTTCATGACAAATACCTGAAAGCCAAATGAATTGGCTCGGCTGCAGAAGAGAGCAGGTGCATCTGCCGCCCTGCAAATGCCATATGCAATCTCTGAGCGGACAAACAAACGCTCAGCGCGTCCAGTTCTGTGGGATTAGGCCCAGCAAATCCACTCTGCAAATTAATTACAGCCTGGACGAAACGGAGTCCAGAAGGTGCTTTTGTTGTGCGGGGAGAGGGCTTAGCGGCGCTCCACGGTCGAGCGGCGCCGTGTATGTGCTGACTGCTTTTATATCTCGTGGTCTCAGGAGGACGGTGAATCTGAAGGCGAGCAGAAGTCTCTTCATTAACACACTCGGTGAGAGGCCAACGAGAAGTTTCGTAACAACGCTTCAACTCGCTCCAGGCTTCACTTCCACTTTCCACAAATGAGAGAAACCACGACTCCCGACATGTTCTGCGGGTTATTGGCGCTTTGTGCGCACGCCTGTTCAGGACCAGGATGTCTGTTTGACAGGCTGGAGGCTCTCCCAGAACTATCGGCCGTGGCTGTGATGATAGACGGTGTCATACTGGGAAACCATTTATTACCCGACACTGATCAATACGTGCAATCGAGCTGTAACGCCTCCGCTTTCCTGCCAACAACGGTGAGATGTGGAGTCGGCCTCTGACATCCCTTTTTAGAATCTGATCGGACAAATTATTGAATTCTTTGATGACCTTCAAACCACAGGTGAGCTGAGGTTTGTAGGGGTGCTTCTCTGGGCTGCAGAGCGGCTCCACTGTACCTGCTGTTTAAAAACTTATTAAAAATACATGTGAATAATGGAGGCAATACTGAGGCCCAGCAGGGGGGGGGGAGGAGGAGGAGGAACTTAGTCCTGCTGAGCTGCTGGGTTCGCTCTATACTGAGGGAAAAACACGATGAAGCTGGAAACTCAGCGTGCATCCATTTCTGTCTTTACTTTTTCTGTCGTCAACATCTCCCTCCAAGGTTTACCTCCCGTGGTTTAATAAAGATCCTCATTTTGCATCCCCCCCCCCCCCCCCAGCACTATAACTAGTAAGAGACCCGGATCAGCTTCAGAGTCGCTGCAAAGTGCTGAACTTAAAGTTCATAAAAGTTCTGCAAAAGTAAAGTTTATTTCATCACGTCTCTCGGGAGGAACACTTTCTATACTCAAAGAATTAAAGTGCAGGGTTGGTAATTTTCTAAAACTAGCATGATTTTCAAAGTCGCATTTCATCTACACCCCCTCCCCTCTGTGCTCCCTCATAAGCCACGCCCCCCTCACTTACATGCACGAGCGCCGTCTCTCCAGAAGAGGACCTCAGCTCATCTCTTGCATTGTGTAGAAACTACGTCGTCTCACGTCTCATTCAGCGGTGTTAGTAAACTCAGAGTATAAACTCCGTCATCGGTGAAACGCTTTGAGTGTGGGGTAGAGCACGCAAGAGGTAGAGAGCGAGCAGGGAGACAGGGAGGCGTCTGATTGGTCCATCAGATTGGTACCTCGTGGCAGACATTGGTTGAAGTTTTTACAGGATTACAACTGATACAGATGACGGATTTTCTTTGTTCCTTTTTCAGAGAACATGAGTTCTTCATTTCTGTCAGGACCTAAAGACAATTTCAACCAGAATCTTAAAAAGTGGATCTGGAGGAAATTACCAACCCTGAGTTTAACTTTTTGTACTGCAGAGAGGGAGAGAGACAACTGTGGCCAGACATTTCAAAAAGACAAAGAACTATTTAAAAGTGTGTATAAAGTATCGTGTCTGTCTTAAGAAACCTGCAGGCCAACTCCTCTGTTGTCATCGTGTTTGTGCTGTTGGGACGGTGTGCTGGAGTTTGTCAGAACAAAAAAGAAATGAATGAATCTTTGGTGTGTGGGACTTCTGTATCTTCTGCCGTGGTATTGAAACAGGTATCAGTATCTTACAGACGTGGGCGCTGTGTGCACAGGATGTCTGTGTTTATGTCTTGGTGCAGTTGATGACAGGAAACATCGTCTTGACAGCCGTTACAATTCTCCAACAAACAACTGGTTTGGCTTCATGGCTTCGCGATGTCACACCTGATGCAGCCAGTGCGGGCGAGACGCGTTGTTTGCTGAAGATTGTAAACCAATAAAAAGAAGAAGAAGAAGCAGCAGTCCAGCCCTCTTATGTGCCGTGCGGTGAATCTTCTCATGTGCTGTCAGGTTTCAATATGGTTTGACTTTTACTGGATTCATATTGAAGTTTAAACCTCTGTAACCATGACGACGGTAACGTGCACCGGCTGCAGACGCACACAGAAAGGAGCAGCTCGTGTGGACCCGAGGGTTTGGTTTGGTTCTGTTGCTGCCCTGCTGTGTTTGTTGACATTTAATAAAATGTAACCGGGCCTAAAGGTGTTGTTTATTTTAGCAGCAGTGTCATAACACGCCTCTTTTTCTTACCTTTTGAAATGTTCCTTAAATCGCTTTAACTTTAACTTTGTCTCTGTGGGTGTCAGTCCTCATGTTTAACCAGTTTCTCCATGTGTCCCCCCCCCCTGCAGTGAAGCCCCTCCCTCTGTCCCCGTTGGAAGCCCAGTCATCTACACCGGTGGGGGGAGCCGGCGAGCGCCAGGCTTTGGAGCTGCGGGTGCGGGCGGTGGAGGAGGAGAACCGGGCGCTGCGCCGGGAGCTCAGCCGGCCACCCAGGAGCCCGTCTGCGCGCCTTCCAAGCGCCGGTCACCGTGGCAACCAGAGCAGAACGCATTCAGAGGAGGGGACGGGCGACAATGAGGGACAAAAAGCTGCGGCGGTGGGAAACAGCTCGGACTGCGTGCAGCAGCCGGCCGTGGATAAGTGCGAGGTGAGATGTGTGTGTTTGTCGTTTTTGAACTGCACAATGTTCCGTCCGTGACACGACAACGATCAGGGACGCCGCGTGACCTTGGAGATGTGTTCCCGGAAGCAGGGCCCCCCATTAGCACGGTGTGACGGCGCCTTCCATCCAGACGTCTGCCTCCTATTAGCCTAATCCTCAGCGCCGATGCAGCTGGCTTTCTGTCTGGAGAAGGCTCACTGTCAGGATAATGTGCGAGCTTTAACACCGCCACGCTGAGATCCCTGCGCGGATAAAACCTCGCAGCATATCACCTCTCAGCCCGGCGGGAGTCAGCCTGCATGACTTGAAGAGCTGACACTAACAGAGTTTGTAACAGGCTGCAGATTTCAGATACCGACTGAGAACACTTTGGTTTTTCTGTCGGAGAAGGTGAAGCTGGCGTTGTCATAGAAACGGAAGATCGACTGCATCACTCCTGATAACCTCCACCGAACACAGACTCTGATTTATAACGGTGGCCAGATCACCTGCAGACGTCCGTCTTTGTAGTTTTCTCTGATAAATCAGCTGATTCGAGTCATCGAGTCGTTCGTCTCAAGTTATTCAAACTTTGAGTTTTCTGTTTTTCTGCAATTTCAAAAACTCTTCAGAACTTCCCCTCCTGATTTCAAAGTGTTTGCATCTCTATCCATCTTCAGACTGACGTTTCAAGACTCCATATTTACGCCCCTGTGACGTTTCTCCTTCAATCTGAATGTCTCGGAGGTGTAATGGGGGGGGCGAAGTGACCGGTGATTGGTGCAGCAGTTCCAGGCGTCCACATTTCAAATTAAATAAGAGGAACGTCCGTCAGTACAGAAAACGTTGTTTCCAGTGCTTGTGCAGAAGAAGAAGAGTCAGTGAGTTTAATCCAGATGAGTTTAAAAACGGGTTTCATGTGCTTTAACAAACGACTGAACAAGAAAACCTTGACTTATTGCAGAGAACAGCACTTTCATAGATTCACTTTTTATTGAATTAAAACTTACAGCTGCTGAATACCAGACTCTAATTCATCAGGATGATTGAATCACAGGGAGGCCACTGACAAAGATGAGAAATGTGAGATCAGGTCTGAGATAGATAAGTTAAACACAGCGTCGAGTGTTTGATGAGTTTCTGTAAGAACATAAAGATCAGAGTCAGGGCTGCAAATAAAGATTCATTTAGTTATTTATCAATCTGCTGATTATTTAGTGCAGTCTGTAAAACATCAAGAAGCAGTGACCGACCAATGGAGAATTAGTCAGTGATGTTTATGGTCCTGGTCTCGATTCCTTAATGTCCTGGTCTTGTCTTGTCTTGGGCGCAGCGCTCCGTGACATCACCTCCATGTGTCCAATAGGAGGTGAAGATCAGATCACAACAAACGGTGTCCCACTCTCCTGAGCTCTCGTTTACAGACCAACCGGGGCGTTGGAGAGAGAGCTCTCGTTTGTGGGCGTCCCAGGTGTGTTTCTATCAGCAGCAGAAATGTGTGGCGTGATCCTGAAGCTAGAGAGCTCCTTGGACGAGCCGAAACTCTTCCTCATCCTGTCGTGTCCTGAGGATCTCATGAAGCCACGCCCTTTCCTTCTTCTTCTTCTTCTGTGCTGCTCGTCTCCTCCTCCTCAGCAGAAGAAAGGTCAGAGCTCTCTGCTGAAGAGTGGACAGAAGCTACTTTTCCCAGCTCTATTCCCAACTATCAACCGGTCACCTAGCAACCAGCCCCCCCCCCCCACCCCACACTTGTCTGTGCCCTACCCCGCGGTGAGTGCAGTGCACAGCTCATCCTCTCTGTGAGGCCCTAAAGACTGCACAAAGAAAAAAAAAAACAGGATGTTCAGAGCTGACTCTCCTCCAACACTCAGACACACACCTTGTACTTTCTCACTTGCAGGTGTGTGTGATGAGCGTGTAGCTCTCTGAGAAAGGAATCTGCCCTCTGATGGTTTCTTATCACCACCTTCTACTTTCCTCCCACATCAGCTGTCACTCACACACACACACGACGACTCCCTGCCAGCTGACTGCAGGAGGAGGAGGAGGAGGAGGAAGAGAAAGAGGAGGACAAGGGAGAGAGAGATAATTGTGTTATGTAGCTTTCTTCCAGTGTGAACATGAGCCCGGCTTGTTTGGAGAGTTACCCGGGCTGCTCCAACCTGCAGGGAAATGTCTGTTTCACTCTGAGCGGGAATAAAGAAAGATGCACGGTGGGGGGAGTCTGACGCGTCCAGCTGGCATCAGGGAGAGACATTCAGAGCTCACACTGGAGGATCTATGAGCCGGAGCTCACAGAAAGGTCCTGCAAGATTTGGACTTTTCTAACCGGCATTTCAGGAAACAGTCAGACGCCGAGGACGCCCACAGAATCATGGTCTGTTTGTGAGAAATGGACAGAGCTGGTTCGTTTCCAAGCCTAGCCTAGGTACGTTTCATGGACGGAGGCCGTAGTCCTCCAAGCAGACGGCCCTAATTGGACCTGTGGCTACTTTCCCACATAATTTCCAACTCTCTCTCTCTCTCTCTCTCTCTCTCTCTCCTGGATTTTGGACTCAACCCACTGTCCTATTCCTAACATAAGCCTGAAAAACGCCCCAAATAAACCTTTAAAATGCATATTTAGATTCTGACTGAGAGGAGCACCACCTCTCAGAGGAGGAAAATCATTATCAAAGTCATTTTCCTGAGCGTTTTATTTTTTATTTTTCCCCCCTTAATGTTTCAACTTGGTGCATTTTATAGTTTTGTAGTGCGGTGAACAATCACGGCGCTCTGTGCTTTTACTTTGAGGTAAACGGTTCAGATAATCGCTGCGATAATAAAAATGAAGGTGATGAAAAAATCAAACATTTTACTGATGGAGCTTAAAATCACGAGAGTGAAACTTCCGAGTTTTTCATTCGTGCAGTAAAGCGCCGTGCAAGAGCTGCTGACTGTGTTTTTTTATGGTTGATCAGATTCATTGATGTGAGTTAATAATTGTTCCCCTCTGTGATTTCAAACACTTTGTGCTTCATGGTTTCTCTTTAGTTCCACTCTGCAGAGTCACTTCTGTTTACATGTTTCTGCTCCCTGACGTGCAGATTCATGAATAATTAATAATCCGTCATCCTCACCGTCTTCCTCTCCTCCTGATCTCCTCAGACCATCCACGTGGCCATCGTGTGTGCAGGATACAACGCCAGTCGAGACGTGGTGACGCTGGTTAAATCCGTCCTCTTTCACAGGTACGCTGACGCTCTTTCATTTCTTTCTTCTTCTTTTTTTCATTAACGAGTTCCTCAGGTGTTTCGAGGTTTTTCTTTGACTCCTTTTCTAGGTGTGTTCATTCGTTGTACGCCGGGGCGCCACTTGTCAACAGGCCAGGCAGTCAGCGGCTTGGGGCCCCAGAGCAGCAGGGGGCTCTCGAGGGCTTACAAACTTCACACCACAGCAGAGGCTCAAAATGTGCGCACTTTCCAGTGACAGTAGAACACCTCCCAAAGGGGGGGCCCCATGTGACAGCACTCACTCTCCCTGTTCTGCTCAGCGAAGTAGCGTGTGATAACCAAAGTTTGTCTGAAGTGACCGAAGGATCACACACACACACACTCAGACACAGTCACTCACACACACTCACACACACACACACACACACTCACACACACACTCAGACACACTCACACACACACTCACAAACACACACACTCTCAGAGGTCAGCTGGTTGGACTGACGATCTGAAAGGCGTGATGTTGATCATCAGACTCCTCGTGTGATAAACTGACCTCACTCTCTCCTCCTGTTTTATTTCTTCACTTCTGATGAAATATTGAACGTGCTGTAAATCCCCAGTAACAGCAGATGACGACGATGTGTGTCGGAGCGACTGCGGGTTAATTTCAGCAGCTGTGTGTCGTCCGGCCCGCGTTGTTAATCATGTTCAGTTGCTGCCTCGGTGATGGAGAGTCGTGTAGACTGTGAGACTGACGCTGTCACACCTGAGAGATGTCCTCCTCCTGCACGCTTCAGTCAGACAGAGGAGCCTTTTATCATTCTGACCCGACCAACAGGAGATGACTTATATGTCTGAAGGATACTGTACTGCATGTCCTGTTAGTATGATCACACACCGTCCTGAGCAGAGAAACGAGCAGCCACATGTTTAAAAGCTTTAAAGGATCATTCTGAACTCCTGGTTGCTGACACCTCTTGATGTTTACAGATTCTATAAAGAGGGTCTGGATTCTAGTCTGGGAAGTGTCCTGGTTTCTGTCTGTAGTACGTTTGAGCTCGTATTAGCAGGTGTTGCTGTGTGCAGGATGAGCAGGCTGCATGGAGAGTAAAAGCAGGAACACCATCCTCCGTGATGACATCCCGACTCCCATCGGCGCAAATGATGATGATTTATTTATCTCTATAAACAGATGTCTGCATGTAAGAGTGGCTAACAATCTGTCCTACATCCAACATTTTCACTTGAGGGACATATCTGCTCGACCCTGTGTACTCAACAAAGACTGTAAATATTAAAGGACGAAGCCAGAGTGACGTCCCCCGTCTGATCCTTTAGGGGGCACTGGAGTCCCATCGATGGCAGTCTCCATGCTGGAAATGCTGTCTCAGAATAACTCTTATCCTTCATTAAATCAAAACTGATGAGTCATCAAAACATTCACCCCCCGTACAGTGTGTGTCGATCGAGACATGAGCTAATCAGACCTGGGTTTTTTTTTTTGAACCAGGCTGTAAACATGTTGATCTCTGCTGTAAAAACAGACTTTTTAGAATGGGTGTGAATGTGACTTCCTGTGCTTCTGCAGCCAGCCTCTAGTGGACACTCGAGGATCTGCAGGATTTTACACTTCAGAAGAACATTCTGGAGAACAGGAAACATGCAGCAGCAGGTTCATTAGGAGATGGTAGAGGTGGCGTGCAGACAGTCTATGGTCGTGTAGCGATCACAGGGAATAAACGTCACCACCCCCTCCCACTCGCTCCAGGTGAATTCTCCTGATTATATCCTGCTGCGTTCTCACATCAGACCACTCTGACTTTCTGCAGAATAAAAACGAGGAGGCTGGAGGAGAAACTCTGAGTGAAGAGAGAAACATTCAGCTGTTTGAGTTCACACATGACGCTCAGCCTGACGCTTCAGGAGTTTAGTGTGAGCATACCGTATAAGAGCAGATTGTTCTTTGTCTAATTGAAGCTAATCTACTAGTGCTCATGAATAATACCACTGGGAGGACAAACAAATATCAGAACACTTGTGATTCCAAAGTCCCGTCCTTCAGCTACAGATTGTGTATTTTCCGACCATCCTTCACTTGTCTCTGAGCAGATCTGCTCACAATAAATCTGCATCCACTCTGGAAGTCTTTACTGGAACAACATATGAATATTTCATTGTAAAGATGGGATGATTAGATTATGATGGGAGCCGCTCTCATAATCAGGATGCACTCGACATGTTTGCCTCCTTGTCGACGTTAATCCGGAGCTCGCAGTGGAAGGCGTGCTGCTGTTTGTCCAGAGGATGTGGAGACTCTTTGTGTTTATCTCTGCGGCTGCCGCTGACAGCGTGTGTGGAAGCAGAGTTTGAATACACTCTGACAGCTTCCAGCCTCCAGAACTTATTGAGCAAGTGCAGCTGACACATTCATTCCCAGAGTCATTCAGCGTCAGACGCCGCAGGGGGGCTCACATCCCCGCTCCGTGTCACTATTGGTTGACCTGATTTGAAAGTTGTGAATACCTTCTTTTTTTTTTTTTCTTTTTTTTTTCACGCTGCTCTTCTGTGTGTGTGAGCTGATGGTAGATACTGACTGAAGAGGATTCTCTGGATAAAGTTTAGTCGTCCTGTCTGATTTCATATCTCCGTCTCTGTGCTTGTTTGGCTTCAGAGATGTCTTCAAACACTCATTCTGAGTTTCTACACCTGAAGTTTGATATTTAATCTCTGCTTACAGACAGAGTCAGCAGCTTTCTCCTTCAAAATAACATACAGACTTCTCTTTAAGTAGTAAAGCTGCTCCATCGTCCCTTCTGGGCCTCCGTACATGTGTGGTGGTGACTGTGTCTGCAGAGACTCTGTCCTCTGACTGGATTTCACTGTTCTGCTTTGTTCTGGTTGACTCGGGACGTTTCTGGGCGGAGCTGGTGTGTTTCCTCCAGCCAATGACAGCGCAGCAGGTGAGTTTAGGAGAGGATACAATTCAGGATTGGATGATTCAAACCAGAGAATATGACGGACGTGGACGTAGCAGCAAAGAAGAGAAAATATAATCACAGTGAGGAGAAACACCAAGTGGATAAAGCTCGTTCTAAAACGAGGGTGAACCTTGTGTTGTCTTTTACCCGTGGACGTGGAGTTGTTCTGCTTCCTGTTGGACAGGCAGGTGACAAACACCGGCAGTTAGTTGGTGATAGCGTGTGTTAGCACAAGTTGCTACAAGCTGTAAACGTAAACACTACGTCCTGCAGGGGGCGGAGCTTTTTCTACTGACTCCACCTTTTTAAGTAGTTTTCTTTTAAAGATTTGCACATTTTGGGCTTCTGCTTTAGTTTATGCTTTTGTGCCCTCAGGGGCCCCCTGCTGGTCTGGGGCCCGAAGCTGTTTCCTGCCTTGCCTGTTGCCAAGCGGCGCCTCTGCTCTGACGCACGATGTTCCTCTGACTTGTTTCTGAATGTTTGTTTTCCAGGCGGAACCCTCTTCATTTCCATTTCATCACAGACTCCATCGCTCAGCAGATCCTGTCCTCTCTGTTCCACACCTGGATGGTTCCTGCCGTCAGGGTGGACTTCTACGACGCCGACGAGCTAAAGGTGCAGCGCCTCGTCTTCACCTGAGAAACACACCCACGCATACCTCCCTTATTAAACTTAAACGTGTTCCTGATGTCATCGAGTTAAAACGGGTTTGTATAAACATCCGGTTAAGTACATGATCCAAACCGTGCTGTGTTTCAGTCGGAGGTGTCATGGATCCCGAACAAACATTACTCTGGGATCTACGGTCTGATGAAGCTCGTCCTCACCAAGACGCTGCCGTCCGACCTGCAGAAGGTCATCGTCCTCGACACAGACATCACCTTCGCCACCGACATCGCTGAACTCTGGGCCGTCTTTCACAAGTTCAAAGGTAACGCACGTCCTTCCTCCAGAGTTTGGTTTCTTTGATTTATTTCAGGTTTGTCATGTTGTCTCCTCAGAGCTTCTTTCAGTACAACCAAAGTGAGTTATTAAATGACCATCTTTGTGACCTGTCACTCTCAGCTAGCCCTGCCCCTAACCTCCCCGGCTTTCTGTTCTCTTTGACTCTAAATGGGAACAACATTTACTAAATTAACATTATGCTTGAAACTAAAGACTGAGACCATAATCACGTTAGGAAAATGTTTCCTGAGAAGAAGCTCCCTTTTTAACTTGTATCTTTCACATACATTTCTTTATTGTCTCGACTCTTGACACACGGAGTCTTGGTCCACAGCAGTAAAGAATAGAGAATTAGGATCCTCAGTTAAGAGTCTCTCTCCACACATTTCTCTGAGAAGTTAGACGGATGAAATCCTCAGCATGACTCAGCGTGTGGGATCGGTCGTGTTGAATCGATGTGTTGGGATCAGCTGGTTTGTAGGTGTGTGTTACACAAGTGGTGTTGGTGTGAGCCTGGAGGAGCAGCTCTTTATCTCTCCATAAAACACAGAGTGTACTGTGAACAGAAGAGCGCTCGCTGTTTCAGCCTAAAGGTTGTGTGCGCACACAAATGCAAACATTTTATTTGTTAACCCTTTCTGTCTCCACTTCTCATTTCTACTTTTAAGTCAGAAGAGAAGGGGACATATTCTTATCAATCATCTTAACATAATTAGCACCGCCCCAATTCTTGATTTAAACATAAGCCCCGCCTCTGACAAGGCAAGAAGCCAATCATAGTTCAGGATTTTAAGGTGGAACATGGGCAGGCCCCGTTCTATGAGGGTGTAGAAGTATGCATTAAACCCTCATTTTACATTTTTTAACCCTTAGTTGAAGGGATGCAAAAAAACATTGCAAATGACAACCGTGTGCATTACATCTGTGATCTGATGGTCACGGCGTGCACTTCACCTGTCCTTTCACCGGGGACCCCATGCGAACCGCCGGGTCCCAAAACACCTTTGCGTTTTTTCATTGTTGTCGATGCTCACCGTAGCTCCACCCACTTTAATCTCAAATTTAAGTCATTTTGTTTTAGAACCGGCCTGAACCTGTGATGGCCAATCAGGTTTCAAGCCTGTGGTCATAGTCCATGGCGGAGGCGTGGCGTTTCTCCTCTCTGCATCTCGAGAACGAGAACATATCTGGAGTTGATTCGATTCTTAACGGTGTGAGATCAAAATGTGACGATGAAGTCCTGTCGGTCTGTCCCTGGGGGGAGGGAGGAGGACGTAAAGATCTGAGGCAGGAGGAGGAGGAAGCAGCTAGTGTTGAGTCACCTCAAAGATTTATGGGTAATGCAGTCCTATAGTGCAGCGCAGCCACAAAGGTCCGGATCCATCTTAATTAGCCGTTGACTGGGCTGCTGCACCTCTGCCTCCGGCTCCCTTCACTGTCCGGTCCCGCTCAACTCTTCAGCCTCATTATGTTTAAAGCATTACAGCGGCCCGCTCAGACGCCCTCAATAAACGTTCCTCTCAGGCCGCAGCTTTATTCCAATCACCCGTACACACGCTCGTAAAGACGCTTGAAAAGAGCTGATACAGTGTGAGGATACAGCCGGCACAGCTCTTCTTCCATCAGGTCATTAACTTTATCAAGCTCGTTTAAAACCCCCGCAGCGTGCGAGGGAGGATAACATGTTAATTAATGCAAAGGAAGCATCGATACGAAGCGTGAAAGTGTTAAAGCTCAGTAACAAAAAGTGATCTTTGGCTCTGCCTTCAAAATAAAGAGCAGGGGAGTCTACAAAATGAAGATGAAAAATGAAGTCAAGGCAGAAACCGGAGCAGATTTTATCATCGTGTCATGAACACATATTTGAAATCGCAACTCTTCACTAGGGCCCGTTTACGCAATTGACCCTTTGTCAAGCCCCGCCCTCATCAGGAAGTAACCCTTTGTCAAGCCCCGCCCTCATGTTACAATGTGACAATCCACTTAGCGGATGCTTTTATCCAAAGCGACGTACATCAGAGAGTAAGTACAACACTAATCCATTCATACACCGCCGCCGAAGCAGGGTAGCAATGCAGGCTTAAGTTTCTTGCCCAAGGACACATCGGACATGTTGCTCAGCTGGGGATCGAACCCTCGACCTTTCTGGTTGAGAGGCTCTGCCAACTGGGCCACAGCCGCCCCATGAGGTAACCCTTTGTCAAGCCCCGCCCTCATCATGAAGTAACCCTTTGTCAAGCCCCGCCCTCATCAGGAAGTAACCCTTTGTCAAGCCCCGCCCTTATCAGGAAGTAACACTTTGTCAAGCCCCGCCCTCATCAGGAAGTAACCCTTTGTCAAGCCCCGCCCTCATCATGAAGTAACCCTTTGTCAAGCCCCGCCCTCATCATGAAGTAACCCTTTGTCAAGCCCCGCCCTTATCAGGAAGTAACCCTTTGTCAAGCCCCGCCCTCATCATGAAGTAACTGTGTAGACGGAGCACTGAGGGAATGCCACTTTCAAAATCATGCTAGTTTTTGAAAATTACCAACCCTGAACTTTGAACGTGGAAATTTACGTCAGGGACCAGAGCCTTTAAGTGGGCGGTCCCTTTTGAGCTCTTTTACATGTTGACTCGCAACAGAGACACAAACTCTGTGTGTGTGTGTTCCTCTTAGGGTGTCTTACATTCTGACTGAATGTTCGTTCTTTAATTTCCCTCTGGCGTCTCCTGGTTTTCCTCACCTTCGAACATTTTATGGGGTTCATTCATGAAGAACATGCCGGTAATCAGCTGTGATTGGACAGGGGACGAGGACAGAAGGAAGCCTCGTACATGCAGTATGTGACTCACCACAGGGGATGCTTCAGAGGTACTCCACACACGTGCAGTGGAAATGAAAACGCAGGTTTTCCATTAGACTGCGGCGTGTGCCTGCGTGGTTAATTTGTCTTGTGTGATCTCCGACGCGAGCAGCTGATGAAGTGTACGCCACGTGTGGATCCTTTGTGACCATGCAGATGAGGACAGTGCGATCTGCCTTTTACCTTTTCACCCCTTTTCTTTTATAATTAAAAACATCATCTCCCTGAAGGGAGAGTGAAAGGACGTTTCAAGGTTCTCCTCACCGTGGACGATTATTCCAAAAAAAACGCCAGAGTCGCTGAAGCGTCGGAGCGCTCATATTTAAAACACTCAGCTCGGCTCCGTTCAGCCCTTCATCATCCCTTCATCAAACTGTGTTCACTTCCTCAGACTCCCTCACACTGCTTTTCATTTTAAAGACGAAACCTGACTAAACGTTGTCCTTGTCTATGTGCAAAATCAGCAAAGATATGAGCGTTACTGCTTCGTCCACAGGGGGGCGCCAACGTTGACACAAACAAAAACTTCCTCTAAGGAACTTCCGTAGAAAACAGGGAGGCTTCTTCTGATGATCAGATCGACTTTTCCAGCGGAGGCCTTGACTTCTGCAGGTGAATTAAATAAATGATTGTTGAATATTTGAGAGCACACAGATGGTTACATTAGGACTCATTAAGCAGATAAAAAATGACCACACGGTGCACTCAGCCTTATTCCAGCTGCTCCTTCTGGCTATCCATTATTTGCGTAAATTAATCTGACGTGCATGTATTAGTGGCAATACTTCCTGTTTTTTTAATGTTAATGTGGCTCTGCATGCAGACCGTGTTTGTCCAATCAGCTGTAAGCGTGAGCCCGTATTTCACCGCTGCTTTGGTCACATGCTCGGTTAATAGCTGCGTCTGTTTTAAGGATTATTGTTCGTGTTTGTCTGCAGGTCGCTCCTCTCCGGTATTCCCAGAGTGACCCCCGTCTGCTCTCAGGGAGGTGAAATGTTTAACGTGAGCCACTTTACCCCCACCCCCCCCTTGCTGCTCACACTCGCTGACGTATGCCATTTATCCATCCATTGTCGGAGCTCACTGGTGCCTGCCTACACTTTATTGGAGTTAACCCTGCGGTTATAATCAGCAGGTATTCTGAGTTCGGTTCGGCGCCCCGGGGAAATTAAAGGCCCACTCCAGACCTCATATTTCATTTCAGCCTCGTTCCCATACGCCGCCGTGCCCACAGGGGAGAACAAGTCGACCTCTGCCACTTTGACAGATTCGTGTTGTGTGAGGCTGTGTGCTGAGAGGAGGTGGGCGGGCAGGTGGAGGTCAGGTGTGTGTGTCGAGGTGCGAGGAGAGTGAACAGTGTGCTGAAGAGCGTTTGACTCGTTCCCTCTGAAACGTCTCTCAGGGGTTTGTTTCTCCTTTTACCTCCTGTTCTCTCTGCTCAACCAATCCCACCTCACCGACGTGTTTGAGTTGCAGTTTGCAATCCCCTTAGTTATTCACAGACACGTTCAGGATCTCACTTTCAAAGGGCGTTTGGTTGATATGAGGGAGATCAGACAGAAACATCAGAGGTAGGATCGTCCAGCACAGGTTAGACGACACCTTGCCTCTGAAGTCTCTTTAGATTCTGTGCGAGGTGAAAGTGACGGTGCATGCCTGAGTTTTTAAAACAACTCAGTTACAGTCCCCTTCCCTGTTTGAATGAACCTGCTCCTTAACACAGCCAGCGGTTGAGTCTGCAGCACAGTTCATCTCCCAACTCTTCAAACACAGCTTCGTGCTAACTCTCAAACCTCCTGCCCCCTCTGCGTGCATTCTCACTTCAAAACCTTTTTTTTTTTTTCGTTTAATGAACCTGGAAAGGTTCCTCTTGCGTTTTCTGATAAAGATTGCGAGATTGTGTGTTAACGTTCCTCAGCTGTCGGAAATCAGCTGCTTGTGACGTCTGAAAGCAACAAAACAATGAATGGCGAATTCTTCTGGTGCGGAGAGTGAGTGATGTGTTTATACCTCCTAAATAAATTCTATGCATAGTAAGCACCGCTGATGAATCAGAGAGTCGGAGCGGGACGTGCAGCTTTCATTCCAGGAAGGAGGAAAGAGTTTGAAGATTCAGGAATGGGATTCATCATGCAAAACAGT